GTATATATAGAACTAAACCGCTACACAAAAGAAGTTTTATAAGGTTTTTCTTTCTATTCTCTTTGCCTTACAAAATACATACTCCATTTGAATGTGCATTTATGTCTATATATATATATATATATATATATATCTACAGTTTGCATGCATTTTATTTATTTATTTATTTATTTATTTTTTTCCATGTTTTATAAAATTTCCGGTTCAAGTTTTTTTTTTAGTTCTTCAAGACGCCAAAACCCATTCCTTCATAGGCTCCTTAACCATATTATATATATATAACCATATTATATATATATATATATATATATATAATAATCCTTAAACTATTGATTTTTGTTGCTGTTAACAACATAACTACCGTTACCATGAAGTTTCATGCATAAGTGTAAAACAAGCAGCCAAACTAACGTCTCCCATAAGACGAATTTCGAATACTTTACTAGACTGTAATTACATCGAAAGCGTGTTCCTATCGTATCGAAGAATTGACCGATCTAATGGCTAAGGAAAATATTTAGTTTCATATTCATTATATTAGAGAATTCCTATATAAAAAATAAATAAATAAATAATTATGACTACCTCAAGTCATATAAGTTAATACCGATGTTGTTGTAAATATTTGCAAATTTTTAAAATAATTTTTATCTTAAATTTAACTCTGACAAGCACAAAAGCATTTTATTAGATTTTTGCACTGATGAAATCTATCTTTATACTGAATAACTGTTATTTGTCAAAGAGCAAGAGTTCGCGAAGAAAAAAAAAGCGTACACAGTATGAAACGAAAACTCAGCTAGAAATCGCTAATCTAATCACTATGCGTACTCTTCAAAAACTGTCAAACACTTCCGATAACATTTACTTTTCAGTTGTTAGGCATTTCTCTTATCGTATGAAGATATAAATTAAAATGCTTAACACTTAAGAGCAACGGAGAGAGAGAGAGAGAGAGAGAGAGAGAGAGCAATCATTTGAATAAACTTAAAAAGGAAAAGATAGTAAGTAGTTTTTTGTCTAACATTGAACAGATTTTTTCCTCGAAATTCCTATTGGAAAATGGAATGTGAGGAGAGGCTTTCTCCCATAGGCCGAACGTCGTTTTAATAATATATTTATCTAATGTCTCCTACTGATAGTTGCTTACCCATTGTACTGTAAATCATTCTTATCAGCTAAGTGAACTCTTGTCAGTGGTTCTGCCGCGTGAGAAAACATTGTTCGCTACATCTTTGCGAAGTAAATGCAATTTTATCGTTCTTCTGTAATCAAATCAAACTATTGCGGCTTTACAGTTTGACTCATTAAACATTTAACCTAAAGCCGTCAATGAAATGAAAGAATTCAAAAATTCGATATTGTTTCCAAGTAAAAAATCCGTTACATTTAAATAACTTAATCGACGAGATGATCAGCCTAGAAACTTTTCCCTTCACATGGTAGTAAATTAATTTCACCCGAGAAGAATTCTTATGGCAAAGCGTTTAATAAATTAAATTAAAATTTTGAAATTAAATAAAGTATCTAACTAAACAGTGTTAAAGCAATATGTGATTTTGATCGTAGTATTGAATATTGCGTTAAATATAGGTATCAACTGAAAGATTTCATTCATTACGCAATAAAGTGCAATTCCTTAATCTGTTCGCCAGCAGCTATCGCTTTTAGCATTTCACTAACCAATGATATTTGCAGTTGGCAGATTGTTTTAAAACTCTCTTCCAAGTCGGATACACTACTGCTTACACTTCATTGTTTAGCTGCCTGTGTAATTCAGGGATGATTTAAAAGCATGTTATATTAAAAGGTATACCAGAGTATTCTTGTCTAACCTCAGGTATTTAATTAGCTTTCTTTTTTAAGTCTTGCTTGCCTTATGTTGCCGGCCTTCTATCCTTCAGTTTGCAATGCATTTATTCGAAAATCTATGTCTAGTATTATTACACTTAAGTTCTCAGCTACGCAAGAGGATTATAATTGCTTTCTGACTATCATCCAGCTCAGCAATGCATTGATATATTGTATATGGCTGACTATCTCTTTTTAATTCATAAACGATGCATTGAAAAGTTGAAGGAGAGGTAGACGAAGAAACCTAAAATGAACATGTGAAATTTTTTGCCGTAACTATGATTCATCACTTAGGGCAAAGCCGGTTCGTGATACGTTTTAATCACTTAAATGGGACGTGCTAATCCATCAGACTTACCAGTCAAACTTGATTCTTCCGGTCTACCAATTGTAAGCATCTGTGGGTCAGACGCCATGGTTGATGACCAACAGCTTGGTTCGTACAAAGATGTCAAAAAATGGTTCAATGACTAGTCCGGATATAGGGTATTAGCATGGTAACCACGAATTACCGGAAATATGATATAAAAATGCCTAACTAACAATGGAGAGTACGTTCAATAAAGAAGCATTTTTGCTCATTCTTTCGAAATTAACACACGTATGTAAATTATGATTTCGTTAAAATATGACATATACAGTTTTACTTTTTGCAATCAATTTATTTAATTTTTCACTGGCAACGATATATAATCTGCTATAATTTTTCTTTCTATAATAAACGTGCACTTGACTTGAAAGGTATTGACAACAAGCATTTTAAGTCATTTAATGTCATTCATTGTTCTTCTCTTTGCAATTTAATTATCCTTACAGTTTGGGCTATTAGACCTCTTCTCTTTCTTTTTTATTTTAATTTTTTTTACTTTTCTGATCGCTATGGTGATAAACACTAGAAAAAAAAGTTTTGCAAAATAGCAACAAAAACAAAAAAAAAAAAGCCTTATATTGTAAACAAAAAGAAAAAAGCAAACTTTTTTCATGCTATTACACCTTACCTGAAGTGGACTTTGTTAGCGTTTGCGTAACAAAAACAACAAAAAAAACGGAACTGAATAATGAATAAGTAAAGAAAAAACACAATATAATATTTAGTTTTTGTGGCGAAAATACTGCAACGCACAGCAACGTATTGTTAATGAATCAACGACAAAAACAAAAAAAAAAGATACACAGAGAACAAGGTCGATGAAGATATTTATATACTAATTGAACTTTTTGGCCTTTCCGTAAATTGAGTTTTCAATTCTATACCTAGTTCCGACCGCGTGCCATCTCTCTTCCTCTTTTTTGAGTCACTCAGAACAATGCATAGCGGTTATGTGCTTGAATCGAAGCGACATAATCATCCAATTAAGGGATAACGCTCTGTTTGGGAATCTTGTTTAGAAGAAGAACTCTTTTACAGGCAGTAAGTAGATTATGCGTAAAAATTAGTTTAATCGCTATCTACAGATGTCCGCATATTTAGCAACAGTCAGCAAAACGTTAAACTTAATTACCCACAGGAAACAGGCGACAATGTTAAATCTAAATCTTATATCTCAAGCTATGAAATTTCTAAATGACTTGATCAATAGTTTCGGTTGTCGTCTATAAAGGAGCACTAGTTCAGTGAAATCTATTTTCTCTTTCTTTAAATCTGTTGATGTCTTGAAAATCCTAAAGACGATTTCTCTTCAAATTTGCTAAGCAAATACAATATCGTTAAACTACTTTCAATTATTACAACAATTATTTCAAAACACCTTCAAAACATTCTCATATATATATATATAAAGAAGAAGTTGACGGATTGACGAAAACATTTCGATCTATTATCTAAATAATAAGATATAATAGACGAGGATTTTACAAAAGTGGGTCAGATCGGAACTTGAGAGACCTTTTTCTTATCAAAATCATTCTTACATATGTTCGGATTCATGTTATTGCATCCATGCAAAATTCTCGTAAATATCGCTTTATATGATTCTCGGTTTATAAGACTTTGCGATCGATACTGACCATCATTCAATAATTACTAAGATCGAATATAAGGCCAGTATTTTCTGAATCAACTTATCCAGTACTCTTATAAGTATACTTTGTTTTCTAAATTTTATCAGTCTTCGTTGAGTATACTTTGAGAGTTTCAACTCTATTCTGGCATTGCCATCCCTTTATGACTTTGTGTATCATTACTCCAACAAAAGCACAAAATGAAGAGCATATAAATCGACGTAGCGCTAAAAAAAAATGGACCAAATTGAGGATAAATGCTGAAAGAATTATTTCAATATATGAACTCTTCTCTGAACTTATCCTGAATGTTATTATAATAGAAATGCTCAACGATCTGTGAAAGAGTGGAGTCATGATTCTTGTAGTCTTCACATTTATGCTTAAAGTTGATAATATCAAAAAAGCAAAAAAAGGTGACAAGCCCTACTTTACCATTGTTCGGCCAAAATATATGATTAGTGATTAGTGATATATAGCAATGATTGTGCTCCGAATAAAAGTTTGCAAAAGATCATAACGTTGAAAAGTGAAAGTCTAAGGGCCTGAGACCAATTGTATCGCGGCTACTACTAAAGTCGATATTCGTAGGTTCAAATCTCAGTGCACTTTGATGACTATACTTACACACTTGATCGGGGCTACAGTAAGTAAAGCAAGTGCTCAGTCAGTAAAGACGTAACACTTATTGATTGGGCGCGCGGCGCGGCCCGCGCCCCGCCCCGGCTGGGGTCATTAATTATGTCTTTCTCTTTTTCTCCACTGCTTTCCAACCGTGGCGGTGTTACACGTACCGGGGATATCCCCAAAATAAAAAAAATATTATCGGGCAATTTTTCCTTACTCACGAACTTAAGTTTTTTGCTTTCTAATTACGGTAAAGTAACCATAATGCAGTCATATTTTTATAGTAAAGAGAAGTCTGTTTCGTCTTCGTTTTCGTTCCCCTTTTTTCGATATAATCTTTTTAGTTAAGCATTATGTATATGTAAGTGTAATATGATATCTATATATATATAGAAGGGCTTTTCTTCCAAGTACTTTACATTTTACATTCGTGTTTATGTAGATGTGCTTGTTAAAATTCAAATTATTTTTCTGTTTTTCTTTCTGCTTTTTTTTTTTTTTAAAAAACTTTTACTTACAATTTCCCTTTGCAGTTTAGCAATGTTAAAGTTAGCCTGCGCTAAGCGTATACTCAACGTGGCCACATCCCCAGTTAGCTGAGCTCGTTCACCGGAATTACGGTCGACCAGTTTTAAAAGTTTATCTTCCAGACTTTGATTAACTTTCTGTACACGTTTATGTGACTCATAAAGGCGATCGTATTTATCTTGCCAAGCAATTATGCTATCCTCCAATTCAACCTGACGTTCCGACTCGCGTATGCATACCGTTTCCATTGCTAGGAGTTGATTTTGCTTTTCTTGCAAGGCTTGTTTAAGCGTTTCAATTTCCTTAACAGCGACACCGGCAGTCGTCGTCGCTAGTGAAGCAGCAACAGACGCCAACGTATCACAATTCGTCTGCATTAATAAAAATTTAATAGAAAGAAGGGAAACAGAAGAAGAAATTAACAATTCTTTTTTTGTAGATAAATAAGAAAAAAAAAAGAAGCATATTCTAAAAATTAGCACACCGCCCCGCCTACGATTAACAGAAAATCACGCTGTTTACATCGATGTCTTATGTAAGCTTATAAAAGCAATGAATTCTTATGTTTTTTTTTTTCTCTTTTTTTTCTTAGTTAACAGGGCACTGTGTGCGTAGAGCTTGGTAAAGAAATAAAAAAAGACTTTTTCTTCTTCTTCTCGTATATTCAGGCATTATGTACATATATTAAGGCATTGCGAATATCGAGTAAATTTCAAATTCAAAATGTTACCAAACATTGCTTATTTTAATATTGATACTTCTGTGATGAATAAAAATTTGGGATATGATTAAGGTAAGTAGTGATCGGCCAACTGGAAAGAGCAACTTTTGGTAAATGCATTTTCCGTTACGATCTCATCTGCATATGTTGTTCAGGATGTAAAGAGTAGAGAATGATATATAAAAACGTAAAAGAATCATAAGTAAAACCTTTAGTACTTAGTAGTAGAGTTATTCAGAAGAGTGAAAATTTTATTAGAAGCACAAATTTCTACTTGTTCAGAGATTACGATTACATCTCTCACGATTTGTCTTTATTTTTAGTTAGCTAACTTCTAAGAGAAAAATGTTCAAACACTTAATGATTGTCTTAGTTAAGTAAAATGGCTTACCCTCCATTCAATTAAGTTCCTTTCCCTATTGTGTGCATCTATCTCTTTTTGACTATGTTAGCAATTTTACTCATAGAAACTATTGGTGGAATCCCGAACGTATCCTTTATTATATCAGCGTACTCGCACTTTGCTATGTTAGGAAAGATTATGGAAGGAGAGGGGTAAAAATAGGGAGTGGTCTTTGTGAACAAGTTCGACTTGAAAATGGAGACATCAGGTACGGTGGAAAAGACAACTACTCCTAGTTTGTAACAGATGCCAGCAATATGGTTAAAGAATGACGAGCCGCGTTTGTTTATTGTGCGGTATGCAGGTGACTCAAGAACGAGTGGGTGAGAACGGTAAGAAAACCGTGCAGTCCTATTAAAAGATTTCCTTGAGGGAGACATCGCTTTAATCTTTGCTTTGAATATGTCTGAACATGGGCACAACGACAACTGTAACCTGTAAACTAATGATCGAAATGGCTGAATGTCTGAAACTTTGACAATTTGATACCATACAGAAATCACATGGATCGGCCTGTGAACAATATTGCCATCCATATGTCAGATCGGAGACTTATTAAGCGATATCATATATTTGTATGCACGAAAATCTATCTCTCTATACATCAATACAAACAGCTTGTTTGTTTATTTGTTTTTTCACCTACACGTATTTGTTATTGTAATGGTAGATAACTTTTTAAAACAAACATTGAATAAATGTTTTTCATCTAATCTCGCTATTGATTTTATTGGATTGTAATCATGATGAAAAAACTCATCGCATTATCTAGGTCTTATTCTCAGTGAAAATTGATTAATTAATTACTTAACTTCCTTTAAACAAGACAGACAGACCGACCGACAAGGAGAAGAAAGAACTACAACATAATTAATATTCCGCGCCCAATGTCTTCCAGTTGCTTCTCTTTAATCAATATTTAATCGATAGCGGAGTTGAACGAATGACAAAACAAAAAGAATTCCATGCTATACGACACTACAATTTTCATCAGTAACGTATACTCTATATCCATGGCTCTAGAATTTCAAAGTGAACATGTGCAAACCATGGAGGCGTTCAAAATTAAGTGAAAACAAATGAAAACCCTACAGTGGGCAATAAGCCGCACCTTGAACTCTCTACAATTATTCATATGACGACTTGTCAAAATAAAGTGTTATATTCGAAGCGGTTGGAAAAATTGATTCGATCAGGACCATATGTAATGGCACTCGTCCTTCGGCCAAGGCACATAAATATACCAAATTTCATGAAAATATCTCAAAAATTTCGTCCTATGGGTTGAATATATAACAAAGCAAGACAGACAGACGGATAGACAAGCTTCGTAAAATGATTTTAAATCGTCCCGATATAATAAATAGATGGTCTATCTCAAGTTATTTTAGATGTTACATAAATCCGCTCAAACAGTGTGCAGACCTGTTTTGCATTTGCTTTATGCATTCAAGCACCGAAATTGATATCCTGCCAACCCAATATTGCCATAAACAATTTACAATCTATGTGCATTTCAATGTTTATTTTGTATCCGCGCCGGAATGAAAAATTCATTCATTCGAAGACTGCTCATCGGGCCATTCACGTACCCACAAATCAATGCTAAAACAAGTTATAACAGCAAAACCAATCGTTAGAGCCATTGCCTCGCCTCGCCTAAAAGACCTTTCCGTCAAAAAGCATTAACAATTACATCTTTTTCTTGTCACAGAAAGATTAAATTTCCCTGAAAATCCTTAAATGCTATTAAATAGTAGATAGTAGGGTAAGTCTAATGGTCAAAACACCCTATCCTAAATCAATTTTTATCATAAAATATGAAAAATGGGATTTTAAAGAGATTTAAAGAGATTCATTTTTGGTAAAGATATTTATAGGGAGAGATGGAGGTTGACAAACTCCTCCTGCTTCATCTAAATTTTCCCGCAAAGCCTTTATATATCGCAAAAGCTGCGAGCTCTCAGTTGAATACAAAAAATGACATGGACGAATATTAGGCAGACAGATGGACAAAGTGACTTAAATTAATGAAGAAAATGATTCTGAATCGATTCGCAGAATAAATACATATATACATATATATATATGTGTACATACATATATATATATATATATATATATATATAACAGTTGCACAAAAGCCTTGTATGTTGATACTGTTTTTCTACCAAAAATGTATTGCTTGTTAATTTTGTAATATATTTTCTAATCATAGGGGATAAAAAATTGATTTTTTTTTTTTTATAAAATTTTTTTTAAATAATTTTTTCTATAAAATTTGTAAACTTACTCGGCTAGCAATTAAGAGCCTAAAATCCGTAGATAACTTAAGTGTTGTTTTTATAAAAGTTTTTATTTGTTTCAATTATAGTTTCGATTAATTCATTTATATCACGTCATAGTTATTAGATAAGATATAATATGTTATGAACTTTGTCGTCAATAATAGTTGAACCGTTTTTTATGTTAATTTAAATCATTTACAAAATAAAACTGAATAATATTTTTAAAATCAAAACAAATTGGGATGAGAGTGAGCTTACACGCACACAAGTACACATACAAATCAACCGTTTAACAGCATCATAATTATACTGAAGTCTGTCATTATCATAATTATCAGTAAATTTAGCTCAAACACATTCTTTCATATTCATATATTGCTGTACATGCATAACTGACAACTGACACTTACTGTATTATTAATGTATAAACAGAGAAGAATAAGTATATACTGTACACTGTAGTTGTGTATATTAAAACGACTCCACATTACTCTCCATTCATATTTCAATATTTTTCATGTAGGAAACATTTGATAAGGAGACGTTTCAGTCATACTGCGCGATACATAGTACCCGCATTATCGTTGAACTAAAGATGAACGCCCTCAAGATCTAAGCGAAAATTATCTTTTTAATATATACATATATTGTGTACCTATTGCTCAACGACATCTTAAAATAATGAAACCGTTCAGCTACCCGTTAGTATTTCTAGAGTTATAAGTATATATATATATATAATATATACATACATGCAGACATACATACATACATACATATTTATTTAATTATTTATTTATTTATGTTATTTAACAAAAAAAATAAAAAATAAAAAAAAATAGAAAGAAAAACAGACGACCGCAATTTCAACTAAAAATCTAGCAACTAGAAATCTCAACGTTATCAGTTGACAAAAAAATAAAGCAAAAAAAAATCAACTTTTTTTTTTTTTTTGCTGCCTTCCAACAGAAAGAGAAAAATAAAAGCCGATTAAATTGAATTTATGGAAGCAGTCGTGAGGCAAGTATACGAGCATGCATGTCACATTGTCACATTCATTCAATTGAGTCAACGCATTTAAACGACATCGATAAAGAAAATTACAGAAATTACAGATATGATTAAATCGAGCGCTGAAGAACTCAAACGGCAGCAATAATCTTTAGTTAATCTATACTTTCGAATATTAATACGAATATTGCTATTACGTAGAAGAATGAATTTATTAACTTTGTTAACTTTTATTTCATTTATCTATCTTCTCTTCCGTGCTTTCTCTTTCTTACTTTGCCTTACTCCCATCAACCCGACTAGTAGCACACATAGCAGGAACCGCCACAGTAACTCGCTAAATAAAAGTGTGTTTTTCACATTTCTTTTTTAAATGCAAGGAAAGTTAATAGAACAAGAGTACTCGAGGGGATTATTATTAACCATACGCTTAAGTATTAAAACAAGTAAGAACACTAAAGTCGAGTCAGGTCATTCGCCTTTTACAGTTAGCCACTCGTTATGATAGTAATACATAAAAATCTACCCAAAGTCATACTTTTGATGAAGGCCCGCATATTTGTGTAGGATGCCCGAACCAAATTTAGCAAACTTAATCCTCCTCCTACCTGCTCAGAAATTTTATGATTTTTTCATTTTCCGTCATAGAAAACTGGGAACTATACCTTCTCTCCATGAAAGAGATTCCGTTTTATGATAACCCGTATACGTATATGTTGGATATGAGACAGCTATGCAATCCAAACTTCCTATCGTTCATCTTTTTGCCAAATTGCCATTGCCAGGAGCAATTTTCATCAGAAAATCTTAAAAATTAAATCCTCTCCTCAAACGCCAACTATTCATGAGAAAACTTATATGGAACAGAGTCCAAAAAAGGGACCAATTTATGGCAAATCAGGAACAAATTTTCCTCATAAAAAAAATATTAACAATTAGACCTTTTCA